TTAGTGCACATTGGTAGTGAGTCCCTTTGTATGACTGAATAATATTCCCTTGTATGGCTGTCCCACATTTTGCTTTTCATTCATCAGTTTGGATAAGCAGTTTAGATTTTTATTGTTTCCAACTTTGGGGTATTATGAACTCATGCTGCCATGAACGTTTAAGTTTTTGTGTGAATATATGCTTTCAGTTCTTTTTAGAGTGGAACTGCTGAGACAAATGGCAATTCTGATGCTTTGATAACTGCCAAACTTTTCCACAGTCTATGGTCCCACCACTTGAGGTTTTAATTATGCAAAATGATGAATGAAATGTCCTACAAATAAAATATCTGATCACCAACATATAAAAGGTTCACTATTCTGTTTTAATGTGACATATCTCAAGAAAAAAATGTTTGGAACTTATAAAAATAGTAACTTTCTGTTGAATTATATCCCCAGAAAGCCAGTAGAGATGAATACTTTTAGTTCTGCCTGAAAGCCAAATAATTTTTCATTTCTTTTTATGGGTTACTCAGAACTTATAATGTTATGTTAGTATTTACTTTTCAATGAAAATATGAGTCTGAAATTAACACTATATCTTCAAATCATATTGATTTCTGGGCCCTTGTTTCATTAGAAAAAGAATTAGCTTCAATTATGATTCATGAGTTATCACATACACATTTGGCATACTAAATATATGACTATATATTTGAAAATGAAGTTACAAGGAAGCTCATATTTTCTCCTTTTGCATCAGGAACAGTAAGTGACACCTCTATGGTAATATAAATGAGGAAAAAATCTTTAATAGATTTTGTATAAAGTTTTTTTGTGTGATATAAACAAAAACAGCCAGTTCTCCAACTTAGATGATAAGTATATCAAGTCCCAGTAACAGAGGAACAGTGATAACTGAAACATGAGCATTGTGGTAGTCGAGGTACAGTTTCTTCTGCTCTCCACCTGAAACTCCTGGGGTAGGGCTAGGTCCATTTACCTCACCCGAACCAAACTGACTGTTCCTGGCCCTGTTCGGACTTCATGCGGGTCAAAACTCAGGATTGTATGGTTCTGAGTTCAGTCCACACCTCTGGTACCTTGTACCCCATCGGAGATTCAAGGGAAAAGCATGAGCTTTGGTGAAGCAGCCCTGCCTGGGGCTCCCAGCCCACTGACGTGTACAGCTGGAGATGATGGGCAAGCCATTGAACTCTGTTAAGCCTCTCTGTTCACAGTATAGTGAAGGAGATCCTGCAGCTCCATAGGATTGTGGTGACCATTTATGACTTGCACCAGTGCAATAGAATGAGCCACATAAATATTTTTCAAAAAATTCAGTACCAAATCTATTGCATGCACATAATAAGCACTCAGGAACTAACTCCTGTTATTTAGTCACACCAAAAGTATTTCTTGAGTGCCAGGTGCCTTTCTAGGCACTGGGAATACAACCATGATCAAAATAACCTGAGTTCCTTCCCCCAAGAAGCTTATATTCTAATAGGAAAGATGAACAAGAAATGCATAAATGTGTAGATTAACAGTCACAGTAAGTCCCATAAGAAAAGTAAGGTCATTTATGGAATTAAAGAGTTGTGAGGGGAATGGATGTTGGCCAGGAAAGGCCTTTCGGAGGAAGTGACTTTCAGAGGGACTTGCTGCTCACATTGCTGCTGCCTTTCATGGTGTCTAATTTCTTGTGTTCCTGATATCCATTTGCCTCAAAATCTGGCTGAAGAAAGGGGTGAAGCCAGGAAATCCTTTGATCAGTAATTCAGAATATTAAGTGAGGGGTTGAGATGTTAAAGCTCTGAATTGTCTTTGTTGTGAATAAACATCTTAACCTTGGGGAAAAAAAAGCTTTTTTGGAGAAGCTTTCCCAAGGAAAGCTCACATTCTCTGCTCACTTTATTCAATTACCAGTCATCTCTCTAAGTCCAGTTAAATGTAGGGCAACAAAAAATGCTGATGGCTGTTGTTTATGAAGTGCCAGTAAAGCAGAGTGCCCCATGTGTTGTCATTGAGTCCTCATGACCAGCTTTATGCAGTAAATATCTTGTCTCTTCATCACAAACAAGGATGCAAAGGCCCAGACAGCTAATGGAGGTAGAACCAGGATCAAGCTTTGATAGATCTGCCTATTTCCAGCAGCCTTATCTACTTTCAGTGATTATTATGACTGTTCTCATTAATAACTCCACATTTAGAAAGCACTTTATCTTGTGAAATTGTGTGGGTTAAATATAATGTACATGTGTGTTTTGCAATTAGGACTCAATCTTGTCTACTTCAGCTATTTGTGTACTATTCTATATCAGTATTAAGAAAATAAGGACTTTAATACTAGTATCATCACTACTATTCATTGAGCATCTTCTCTATTTCATGTTTTATAGCAATTAATTTTCATCACAACTCTCAAAGATGGGTATTTTTATTTATATTTGATAGATAAGGAAATTGAGGTTCAGTCATTAGTAAAATGTCCAAAGTTAAACAGTCTGTGGAGGAATCAGACACCTGGGCTTGTTGACTGCAGAAGCCTGCATCATTCTCTTTCACAGAGAAACACAAAGAGACAGAGTCTCAGCTCTCTCAAAGCTAAGTCCCAGATACTATCCAGGTAGGCTGATAGTGATAACTTACATATATACGCACAGATTTTATCTTGGTGTGAATGAGGTGGTTGGAGATCAAACCTGAGGCCTCATGCATGCTAGGCAAGCCTCTACCTCTGAGCTCCACCCCCTGCCCATAAATTTTAACTTCCTTAATCCCCTTAGGAACCCTGATCAAATGGTGACAGTGTAATGGAGGTGACATTACAGTGTAGGTGGTATTAGATAATCATATTCTTAAGTGCTCGGAAATCAAGGAACTCTGTGCTATAGTAAAGAGTCAGCTTGAGGTAGAGTGTGTGCTCAGCATGCCCAGGGCCTTGAAAATTTAAGCAGAGAATGTGAGCTTTCCTTGGGAAAGCTTCTCCAAAAAAAGCTTTTAATTTTCCAAGGTGTTCATCTTCAGATAAATGGATAAAGAAAATGTGATGTATATATACACAGTGGAATTTTATCTAGTCATCAAGAAAAATGAAATTATGGCATTCATGGGAAAATGAGTGGAACTAGAACCATCATGTTAAGCAAAATAAGTTAAAACTCAGAAGGTGAGGGGTCATATGTTTTCTTTCATATGCAGAAACTAGAGGGGGAAAAAGAAAGGAAAGGTAGGGGTGGATGTCCTAAAAATCAAAGGGAAATCAGTTAAGGAAAGGCACCAAAGGGTGGGAGGTGGGGTGGGGGAGTACTGGGGAGTGATATTGGCCAAATTATGTTGTTAGATTGTGTGCATGTATAAATACATAACAACAAATCCCATCATTATCACAACAGTATGCACCAATCAAAAATGTGGGGGTGCGGGAGAAGAGGCCAAATGCCACGGAAATCCAAAGGAAGAAGGGGGAGTTCTTGCAGAGGTACTAAGTAGAGCTTAACTTGGACATTGAGAAGCTGTCACTTGATGCAGGCCTTGACAAATAAGAACAGCTTCCATATAGGTCTAATGTCATCACCACTGGATAGAGGACATTTTACCTAAGAGGTCTCTCACTTGGCCACAGAGCCAGTTGACAAAGCAGGGATTTTCATGTGGTCTACCTTGATACTTGTTCAGAACAACACATTAGGAAAGACTTCTTGGCCTGTTGACACCTCATAGGAAAGCTCAGTGCCTGGTTCTATTGGACTTATAAAACAAAGAATGTAAAGTTGAAGGGAAGAGAGAAGTCCTAAAAGATCGGGTCATTTAGATGAGCCACTTCTAAAGAGTCAAAGGATCCTGACATGGATCACTTGTGTTTGTGGCCTTGACAGTTTCCTTATCTGTAAAATAATGTGGAGAGTAGTATTGCTCAAATGTTGCAGGCATCTGAATCACCTGGAAAGCTTGTTAGAACAAAACTACTAATCTGGGATGGAATCTGGAAATTGGCTCCTAACAAGTCCTCAGGTGATGTTCGTGGTCTTGATCAAGCACCGTAGTGAGGATCACTGGTCTTGTCTAAGATCTTGGATCCTCACTCATCCTCACCCAGGTCCATCTTCTCCTACACCATCACCTGCGGAAGGCCTGGGCCATATGTCCACCCCCAGCTATGTATGTCATTCTCCCTAACAAGACACTCCCCTCTCTCTCTGCCTGTTTTTTTACTAGTAAAGTGGGGCTTGTGGTTCACTGTGGCTTGGGACAAATGAGGGAACTCGGACTCATTTAGAGGAAACTGCTTTTGAAAAGAAACTATAAATTATTACTTGTACATATCCATGGGTGAAGTAAAGATTCTGTTTTGGCAGAATCCTTGAGAAAACTACAGTCTACCTTTGAAGTGAAAAATTAATAGGAAATCTCTCTTTTTCCTCTTGTCTTTATGTAAAGGAAGCTTAGTGTAAGAAGATGTGTGCCCTTGCTGCATGTATTTAAAATCCACAGTGATCTCCAAGGGGACCCATCCTTTTTTGGCAGATTAAAATTTTCCCCACCATCTATTTAATAAATTAAATTTTTAAAAGCACATAAATAAAAAAAAGAATAATAACTTAGAACTATATCTGGGCACCTGAGTCTATGAGCCCTGTAGGGCCTTGGCACCCAAAAAGAAGGGGGAGAAAAGACCCTTGTCTCTGAGGCCTTCCTTGAAGCGTCAGGGAAGCTCTGGGGGCCCCAGAAGCTAAAGAGCTGAAATGCCTGGGGCATGAGTCTGTTCAATCCAATAAAGAGCCAGTTAAAAAAAAAAAATGGATAGTAAGTAATGTTGCTATTTCATTTGGTGCAAAAGAGAAGGCAAAACACCAGAATATTCAATGAGCCAAAGCACAAAATGTGGCATGGATGTGAATGCAGGCTGACCTCTTCTCGGGAACATTTCTAAGCCTGAGTGGAGCACTCAGTGTGCGGCTAATGTACAATAGCCTGCATTTTAAACCATGGTGACCCTTTTGTTTCTCTAATAGGCGAAGATGAGGATGAATTTGAGAATTTCATGCTGCCTCTTACAGTCTCTTTTGAAACAGTATTACAGATATTCAACAACAACTTCAAACAAGAAGATGTAAAGGTGGGTTTATTTCTCGACGTGAAGAAAGACAATTCTGACCTTTCTAGAATATCTGGATCCAGAAAGGGGCTTGCATATCTATCTGTGTGCTCTATGTTCCTCAGACCAGCATCTGTATGCATGGGTCAGTGTTCCCAAATGCAAGTGTCTTTGGATCATACTTTTCATGTAAGACCTTTTTTAGTTTTTTATAAAAATGGACTCTGAGGTCAGTGAATGGTTTTGGACAGTCTTTTCAGGATTGGATGGCGCAGACTTGTCTCTTATGGCAGTTACTCTCTTTAATAGAACATTTCTCCTGGGCCCACACACCACTTTAAACATCTCGATGCCTTCATCTACTCTGCACTTTACATTTCAACTTACCCATATGGAGAAATGCACAAATACACACATGCTAAAACATTACATCTCTAAATATTTTTAAACAAGAATTTATATAAATCAAGACTTTATTAAATGGCTAGGCATATATGTATAAATAGGAGCTGGTCTTGAAGTATTGCATTCTTAAACTGAACAAAGTGATTAGGATAACTGATAGCTAAATAAGGTTTTTATGTGCCTGTGGGAGCCATATTAGGATTGATTTGACAAGTCAGTTCAGCTGTGGCAACAGTCATAATATCTAAGACAACATTATGTTTTATTAGTAAAATCCTTAAGTATAGCAAGCTGTTTGTGACAAAACAGCCCCATATTTTAACATGGGGGATGGGAAGCACAGCTCTGTAAATAGAAATAGTATCTCTTGAAATTATAATGTAGCAAGTCTATATTAAATAGATTGACACTGATTATTATTTTTAAAAAACTAATAAGTGCACTCTGGAGAATATAAGCACCTTCATTGCTGAGGGTGAGTCATATTTTATTATTTAAAATACATTGGAATATTCACCACCTTTTGCGTGATGACTCCTCTTCACAAAAAAAAAATTAACAGGTCAAATAAAAAAACAGTGGCCTTTGATGCTATATGTATAATTCTCCTGCCAAAAAATAATTAGCCAAATGCTATATGTACCTTTTAATTTTAAATGGAGTTTTTGAAATAAATGCTTATCAAGCTGTCATAGTTATAAAATTTTAATACCAAAAAAATTACAGATTTTCTTATATTTTTGCTGAAATTCTTTTGTCAGGTTCCACTGTATTTAACTGTATTTTTTAGATGTCTTCCAAATATCTTTACTGACCAGCAAAGTCCTTGAAGCTTTAAGGTGGTTATTGCTGTCCTTTATCAAAAAGAGGCAGTGAGGCTCAAAAACACCATCTTTATAAAAATTATATTTGTCTCATTTGAAGATTTCATTATGTTTGAAGCCTGGTTTGATGTAATCCCATCTAGTTTGATAGAAACCATCTTCTTAGAGTCATTTTTAATGGAGTTCCAGTGATATATCCCTAAACCAGCAAGTTCTTAACGACCCTGGAAAGTGACTGCTTGATTACACTTTAACAGTATTTGCAAATAAAATCACAAGTAATTAAGGGGAAATCTCCAGGCTTTTGAGCAAGTTTGATGCATGATAACTGCCTGATTCAGCTTCATCTAGAGTAATGCTGTGTAGGCAACAGCTACTGAGATCAATAGCAACGTAATGATAGTGGCAGAATTAAGTGAGTAACCTGAGAACTGTGCCTCAGAATGCATGCAGCTGCCACGAACCAAGGCCACACAGTGCACTCCGTGCTTCCGTCCTAAATGTTCATCAAAAGACGCCCTGCAGGAAAATGGAGTTAGATGCTCTTTATTGCTGATCGTGTCTCTTGCCACATTTATCAGGGAAATTGGATTAGCAGTTGGCAGCTGCAGGTAGACAAGATTCTGCAGTGATTAAATATGCAGCTTGGCTGCATTTGTTGTGACAGACCTTTAGTAAATTCTACTGTAAGCACCATCTGTCTAATTTGTATAAAGAAACTTGGTGCTTTAAGCCACCGATAAAGAACTAAATCTGTTGCTTTATCATAAACAAAACTTTTGCACTAAATGCTTTTAAATGTAATTTATTAGGTTAAGGCTATTTTTCTATCACGATGAATAAATAATACATGCAAAAGTGCTTTCAGGTACTTCATTTTGCAAGTACTAGAGATAAAAAACAGTTCTGTTTTGTTCTTCAATAAAGCATTTAGTATTCCAATCCACAGGAGGTGATGCTGTTAAAATATCTCTATGAAAATGCCTGAGGACTGCCAAATTCATTTAATTTGCAACCCTTACCAGGATTTTCTAACTTCCTATTTATAGATATTTTGCAAATGTAGATTCCGGGATAAACTTAAACATTAAGGACCTGTGTTGCCAAATTGAAATATCGTTGTGAGGAAAGAAAATGCTAGAAAACTCTTAAATTTATAGTTTTGTTTTCCTACTTAGTCCTAATAAAATTGAAGAGAACATTGAATTTTTGTCTTGAGTTTCTTCTCTCCAAAGTAAAGAGGGAAAATGGGGAAATACTGTAACAAACCCTGGCCCTGGAGTATTATCTCCCAAATGCCATTTTTCCCCTGTAACTTTCCCTATCTTAGAACCAACTCAAGTGTATTACTTCCCAGATTCACGCATCATTTTTTATTTGGCCATGACGTCATCAGTTTTAAGGAAAATGAATGAAAACTTCTCAGAGGTAGAGGAGCAGTTAAATAGAAACCTGCTATCTTTAGTCCCTTCGTAAAAACTCCACAATGTTAAATTATTTAAAATCCTTGATTTTCAGCATGCGCACATTAAAAGTTTTCGCACTAAGTGCCAAATGTTGCAAACAGCACTTTAACAGAATGATTTTGCTTTGATCCCTGTAGCAGTTCCTGAATAATTTATCACAGGTTATTGCCTTAATTCTGGAGAGGGATAGAGCAATAAAGGCAGATGAAAACACTCCAGTTGAAACACCTTGGGGCCTGCTCGTTCCTCTGACACGGCTCTTTTGTTGGAACTATTTAGAGGTTATTAAGATGTGTCTCCAGAATTAAGAGTGTGCTGTAAGGATGAAGACAGCCATCTTAATTCTAAAGACAAAGCACAATGACCCTTCACCTTCCTTTTCTTTGTTGTTATTATATGGTAGAATTATGAGGATAATATTATAGCTGCCCCCAGTAGTGCCACTACAGTAAAGGGTCTGTCAGACTTTCCATTAGAAACCCTGTTTTGGGGGTCAGGGTGGAAGGAGCTGCGGTTCAGCTGTTTCCCAGCCCATCCGTCTCACGCTTGGCACACAGACAACCGTTCACCATGCAGTGGACTGAAGCACTCAGCGGTTTCTCTTGAGCTATTGAAAAAGGAAGCCATAGGGTTAGATCGCCAGGCTTGCCCCGCTTCACACACTGCCTCACTAGAAATGCAGAAGCCTCTCGCTTCACATATCAGTCTAGTGATGACCAGCCACAGGAGAAAGGCAACTTTTAAAATGGACCTCTTTGTCCTGTTTTAAATGAGATGGTAAGTTGTGGTTCCTCCTCCCCTAAATTTCAACCAGATGACCCCTCACTCTCCAATTCTTCCGTAGCCCAGAATTGAGCTCCTAGTTAACTCTTCCCTATCTCATTCCAGAGCTAGGGAGGAAATACCCTTTTAGTATTGTTTAGCTGTGTAGACTCTTACAGCACTCTGTGCTGCTTAGAGATAAAAGGTACTATTTGTTTGACTCTAAGAAATCTATTTCTTATTAACTTTAGTACTCCACTTTCCTGCTCAGTTAAACCTATTTAAAACTTACATGTAGTTATTATATGCTTCCTCTGTTCTGTAGCAACATTTTCTAAAATGAAACATTGATATCATTTCACGGCCAGTGCATTTAAAAAACAACAACAACAAAAAAAAAACCTATGGATTTGAGTTAATTAGAGTACTTCTGTTAACTTGGCATCTTTTAAGAAAAATATGATAAAATTAACCATTTTTATAAAATGATGATAGTTTAAAATATTAATGCTCTTTGTACTTAGGTATAAAGAAAGCAGGATTCATGGTTTTTGGTAACTAATTTAGAGTTGAGTGATAGGTCTTTTGTATGTCAGTGGAAGCCTTTTGTAAGTATAGCCTGTAATGTGCAAGTGTATGTAGTAAAAACAGCAAAAAGGCCACCTTGACGGTGGCAGAGGCCCACAGAGAATCCCTGGACTGCACATACCGCAGCCGGAACAGAACTGTTCCAAGAAGGCTTCTTAGAAGATGCGCTCTGTTCTGGAGGCTGTCAGAAATGTGCAGAGCCGATAAAGAGAGCGGAACAGTTCCAGGGGTGAAGAAAGGCTGCATCCCAGCAGAATGCTGAAAAGCAGCAGCGGGTCGTGTGCAGCACCTACAAGGAGGCCAGTCAGGTGCAGAAAAACAGGATGGGGGACGAAGAGAGAAGGAGCAGGTCATTGCCTTCAAGGCACAGTATTTTTCCGCTTTAGAACTTGGGCCTTCCATACACCGATGGACAGTAGAAAGAGCATGTTCTTATGGACAACATCCAGGTATGTTGAGTCAGCTCTTAGGAAGAGTAGGGGGCAGGAGGAGATGCTAGAGACTAGTGACAGTTGAACTGTCACTTACTCCCTTGAAGTGCTCTTCAGCCCTTCAGATGACAGTTGGGATCTACTGCCTCCTTAATGATCATTTTAACTCCTTCCTAAAGATGAGTCTCATTTATTACCAGAGTATGAAGAAAAAGAGAAATCTGATAAAAAGAAAAGTTAGAGGCCATTTTCTGGCCGTTTTTTCCTGAAACAGTATCTTCAAAAGTCACGATTGCATATCTCAATTATCTCACCCCCTTGTTCTGCAATTATGTTTATTTGTGCTCTTTGTTCTGACATTCTAGCATCTGTTCATGGGTTTCTTTTTCTCTTCCCAAGCATCATCCTAAGGACAGCTTAATTAAGAGTCCAGGATACAAGTCAGATCTCTTTTATTCAAGAGAAGGTCTTTTTTTCTTCTCCTTTTTTACTTTTTTTCTCTCTCTCTCTTTTTTTTTTTACTCCCCCCTATAAAACTGAATACTGAGGACCATTTGCTGTGTTTCACACTCTTGCTGAGGCATTTTACAAGATTATTCCTCAGAGTTTGTTAGAGAAGCATTGTTTGCCCCTCTTATAGATGAGAAATCTGAGACAGATAAATTGACTAGCAATTAAGAATTAAGTGAACCTAGGATTTAAATTCAAGTCTCATGACATTGACTGTAAAGCTTTTCCTTACTTGAGGACTGTGACTGCCATTCTGATTGTGTCATAGTACCAGTAGGTCACTTAGCCAGTTTTATTTTGTCCTAAGTTATTAAACATTTTTTAGGAATCTTTAAAAATCAATATGTTTCCAGAGTAGACTCTAAATTTTATAGTGAGAATGATTTTATGCAAGCCAGTGTTAAGATTTGCTATTATTAAATAATGTCTAGACCCTGTACATATCAGTTTTGTGAAATAATCAATCTTGGTCACTCCCCCCATCCCCAAATTTGGCAGTATCCAGACAAAGTATGTTAAGAATCTAAATGACTCTGAGCTTCTAGAATTGTGACGTAGCTCAGTTTATAAGAAGCAAAGCAGAATGGGTTAGCAGATTGATGATCTGTTTGTTTAAAGAGTCTATGGTTTTCTATAGAAAGGGATCTGAACGAGACATTTTAGCTAATGAATCAAAATCAGATATGTGGTCATTATTGCCTGATTATTACTCCATCTGCTCTGCACTAACGTGAAAATCAATTACTGTGTCTCTTTCCCACTGACAGCGTATGTTGATCGGGCTGGCAAGAGATCTTCGAGGGATTGCCTTTGCACTGAACACAAAGACCAGCTACACCATGCTGTTTGACTGGATGTATCCTTATTACACTGTGACAATACCAGCTCTGTGCACAGAGGGATGCCAGGCCCCTCGCTTTCGTTTAATAGTATGGCACAGTAGGGAAGAGGAAACAAAGCTAAATGAACTAATGTGTAATCAGCTAAAAATTACAGCACAGTGGCAGTGTGCAGATAACTGAGCACAGCGTTCGGAGACCCAGCTCAGAGAGGTCAATTTTTTGGTGCCATTAAATATTGACAATTTAAAAATTGCTTCCCCCTGTGATTGTTTATGTTGGGGGTACAGGGAAAACCTGACTGGCATCTTGACTTGGGATCAGGGGATCCTGCCATTGGTCATTGTTGAGCAGATTTGAAAATCTACTCATCTCAACGAGCAAGGCTGAGCATTAATTCATCACGCCATAGTTCTTCATCCCGAAGAAAATTTTAATGGACATGAAAAGAAAAGGAAGTCAGTGGTCAGGATTTGTCATTTGGGGTAAAATTTGAATTTGCCATGGCCAAGGTTCAGTGCAGACAGGGAAGAAGTCTCCCATAGAAGTGCCCATCACGTGCAAGGAGGCAGAGCACAGGCTTTGGTGCCAGATGGACAAGGCTGCAAATCCAGCCCCTCCTTGACTGTGTGAACCTGGCCAAGTCATTTCTCTTCAAGACCTGGTTTCTTCATCTAAAAAAAGGAGATTATGCAGTATCAAGGCTTACTGTGACCATTAAAATATGTAATGCTTTTTTTGAAATGTCTGGCATGTATAATCACTAGTCATAAATAGTTATCAACATTTTAACAGTGGGTACAAATCATCTTTGATCCTAATAGGAAGTGACAACTTCTAGAGTAAGTGAAAGTAATGGCTTCATTCCTTTTAAACTTGTAATTTTCAGAGCACATGAGAAAAAATTCTGGTTTAAAGCTAAGCAGCTTCTTAAGTAACACTTTGATTTGCTTTGAAAGGTCAAACCTTTCTTACCCTTTCTTTCCTTCATAAATTGCAAAAGAAACTCCTAAAGGCTCTCATCAACTGCCGTGTCACAGTTAAGGCCAAAAGCATAACCAGCAGGGTAGATGGGCATGTTCAGGAGAACTCTGTACGTTATCAAATATTTAAACACTAATTTTAGTATACACTCGTATTTTTTTTAATTTTTTTTTTTGGTTGTTGATATACCTTTATTTATTTATATGTGGTGCTGAGAATCAAACCCAGTGCCTCATACATGCCAGGCAAGTGCATTACCACTGAGCCACAGCCACAGCCCCTACACTTGTATTTTTAGTTAGTTAAAACCTACTTCTCAGATTTATGTGCTCAGGGAAGGTTTAGAGGTAAGATTTTTCCATATCTCTGGAGAATCAGATACGTCATTTACCTAAGCATATAACGTACATGTGTGGAGATTGTAAGTTCTAACATGGAAAGGTATAAGTCCTCTGATTTTAAAGGTCAGACTTCACTGACCTACATACCCTTTCTGTTTCTCCAAACAGAAACATCAGCTCTCAAAGTCAAAACTTTTCATTTATATGGAAAATTACCCAAGTCCAGTCTGGGCACTCTGGTATCAATAGTTCTCTTGAAGCTCAGCAGTTGGCACTTAACCTCTCTGGTCTTCAGCAGTTTTAGCTAACATTTGAGGTCAAGAACCAACCCCCACACCCAGTACCAAAGGATCAAATCAGTTCTCCAATTCTTTACTTAACTCCTTCTTTCCGCACCTAGCTGAAATGAAACTTTTGTCCAGCAGATGGCAGAAAATAGCAAATGGAAAATCTTAGGACTTAACTGTTCATTTTGAGCTAGAAACCATTGTCTCCTCCATGTGACCATAGATGTTGACGTTATTAGGGTCAGGGGCGGAGGGTGAAGTGTCAGTTATGCAGGAGTCTGTGTTAGATTGCCAAATGCAGTGGTTTGGTACTGGCCTTGCTTATAATAATTGAGTTTCTGTAGCAAATCAGCTTCCTTGGGAAAAGGCCAAAGGCTTTTCATAATTGTATTGACAACGAAATGAATATGATAAATGGTGTTCATTCAGTTGAGACAAGATTTATAGTTTTCCTTTGGGCAAGGGATGAAGAGCAAATATTTATAATAATAGTAAAATTTGTTTAAAAGTTACATTATTTGATAATTCAAAAGGCTTTATTAAAATATTTCGAAATACTTTAAGCAGTTTCAGGTGATAAAGTACAGATTCTTTCCAAAGTATTCAGTAATGCAAAAATGAATAAGTATATGATAAAAAAAAAACATGGATATGAAAGTCATTTATTCTTCCTGAAATATTGATATGTCAAACCGTCAGTGATGATTCCCACATTACTGCTGGGGAAGTTTATTTGCCTTTTATCCCCATAAATGTGTATTCTTTAATATGTTATACAATCCTTAGCATGCAGAAGAAATATTCCTATAAGAGCACATGTCATCTTAAAGTCAAAATGCATTTTATTTATGACAATTATTTGATAAAATGCTATTTTAGTGGTTAGCTATTTAATTCAAAAACATTTCTACAAACACTGACTGCATTAACTGCTACAAACTACATTGCTTATCACTCTGTCCCTCCAAAACTAAATTGCCTGAAAGTGAGCAGCAACCATCTTGATAAATTGTTTCCACAACCAGAGAACTGAAGAGAATGACTGGTGTACTTCTTTGCCTCATAGTAAGAATGCAACAATGAGGAGACTCCTTCCCTTGTAGTGCATTTAATAACTGTGTTTAAACTTGTCCCAGGCTGTCCTTAGACTGAAGCATCAAAAATCCAGAGGAATTGTCGGGGGCGGGGGAAGGAATGCGTATGACGCTGTTTCCTCATACTCGGTCTTAATTGTCGTGCTCTTTGAACTCACTGATATCCAGTCAGGCCTTCAGTGCTGTTTATTAACGTGCATAAGCATGTCATGCAAAGACAGACAAAATAAGGCGAAATGCAGAAGAGCATAGACCTCATAATAAGACAGTATTAGATCCCAGTCCTGGTTTCACCTCTTGGAAGCCTGTGGGTCATGGGTGAATTACCTGGTGTCCCCATATCATAGTTTTCACCTCCATAGAACAGGACTCTTAATAGCCATCTTGCAGTTCTGTTATGAGAAGTGTTGTGATTCTGTGATTATGTAAAAGTTCTGGTACAGTTTCTGTCACAAAAGACACATTGTCCACCACTATCTATTTCCTTTCCTAATAACAGAATGAGATGAGAAAATCCCCCTGGTTCACTTAAATAGTTAACACATTGGGCTTTCTTGGTTCAGTGCACTAGGCCTCATGAGGGGTAGAGATTACTTAGACCCAAATCCTACCCCCAAATGAGCTTTAGCTCGGCAGACTCCACTATCTACATAAATGATTTATACTAACACATAGAAAGTGGTCAGTGACGTAACAAAATACTAATAGGAAATTTTTGGTGTTTAGCTGGGGGTCAGGAATGCCTTTGTAAACCTGAAGACTTGACCCTGAATCGTACCAAATACATAGGACTGGTCCATAGGGAAATGGGAAGAGACTGATTTTCAGTTAGCCTCATCCCAGGACTAGAAAGGAAGCAATAAAGAAGATGTTTTATTGTAGATAACACTTTATGCTTGGAAACAGATTGTCTGGGTCCCTTGAATACCGAACTATAGAATGTAGATCCTTATTCCATAGGAATAGGTTTTGATTGACCAACAAAGTCAGAACTATAGCCAGGTGTGGTGGTGTGCACCTATAACCAAAGCAGCTTAGGAGGCTGAGTCAGGAGGAGTGCAAGTTCAAAACCAGCCTCAGCAACTTAGTGAAACTCTGAGCAACTTAGCAATACCCTGTCTCAAAACAAAAAACAATGTGGCTCAGTAGTTAAGTGTCTCTGGGTTCAATCCTCGTACCAAAAAAATAAAAATTAGAACTATATTTCTTTTTCTTTTTTATATTATTGCCCAGGCTGGTTCTTGAACTCTTGGTTTCAGGCAGTCCTCTGGCCTCAACCTCCCAGAGCAGCTAGGACTATGCCCAGCAGAAGAATAAGTCACGAAGAAAGCAATTGGCGATATGATGTTGGACAGATAGAAACTGGCAAGAAAGTAAGCCTGAAAATTCACAGAGCAGGCATGTTTTGACTGTGTTTTGTGCCAGGCATAAGGGAGAATGATGCTCTTCAGAAGCTCATGGTCTAGTAGACACAAAAAGGAATGAATAGTTATTCATCCGTGTGTTAAGATAAAGATGCATGCCACAAGCCAGACGCAGTGGTGCTCACCTGTAATCCTAGCAGCTCTAGAGGTTAAGGCAGGAGGATTGTAAATTTGAGGTCAGCCTCAGCAAGTCCCTAAGCAACTTAGTTAAACCCTATCTTAAAATAAAAAAATAAGAAGAGCTGGGGATGTTGTCCCATGGTGAAGCACCTCTGGGTTCAATCCCCAATACCACCACCCTCCCTAAAACAAAAAACCTACAACAGGCCAGGTAAACACAGGCAAGGAAGAGATTATTGGTTTGGAGGCTCCCAAATAGGGAGGCTTCCTGGGAGAATTCAGGTTGTGCTGAGCTTCAGAGGATGGACAGGCATTTGCTGTACCGAGAGGAGGGGCTCCTAGCAGCACAGTTGCCTTCATGAACAAAGGTCCAGGTGTTTGCATCTTCCTGGAGAACCTTTAAATGAACTAAGTGGTCAGCTGTTTCTGTTGAGGAATCCCATCCTCAAACCCTTATCTCTTGGAGGTTTTAGTAAGAACTCTGGCGTTGGCCTTCTGGTGTATTCTGATGCTTTCTCTGCTGTGAAATCCCAGAGGAAAAGAATCAGGTCTGCTCATTACTGCTTTCTTTGGGGTTCAGCGCATGGTAACTATAAACCACAGTGTACATGGATGGGTGGTTACGTAGACAAAAATCCGATACTTTTCACATTTTTATACTTAGCGTCCAGTAAGATGTTGCTGTATGCCATTGTTTTTCACTTATTTGATGTGGACCTTCAGAATTCATTGAGAAAATCTAGGTGAAATTAGGTCTGTGCCTCTTCTACCTGAGGGCTCCCGCCCTCTTCATCCTATCTTATATGTGGAGCTCTCACAAGGCCACTGGAAAATTAAGCTCCTAGAGTGGGTTTCCATCTCACCTGTAGTCTGAGCCTGCTGCTCTCGCTGTGGAGCCCTTTCAACCTCTCAGCTTGGTGGACCTCTGCTCTGCTTTCCAGTAATCACTCATCTTCTCTGTGGCAGTCACCTCTGTCAGAAGCATATTAGAATTGTCACCACTCTCATTCCACACAGAAAAAAGCACATCCCCTCACGTCCCCTGGTTTTGCCCATAGTGAATGCCGTGTGCTCTGAAAAATACCACGGTCCTAATGCCGTTAGAGTGCTTGGCACAGGGACCTGTGGGCCTCTCTGGGCTTAGTTCTGATATTTGGATCTCTGCAGTTTCCTGGTGGGCCTTCAGATGTTCTCCCACTAATGCTCCCTCAGGTGAGCTCTTGATGGAATATTTTCTTACCTGTGCTCCTCTGGCTCTGCCTCAGAATTCTAGTATTCTGCACATTCCTTATCCCTGTGCCACCCTGGAATTCCCAGTGAGCAAACACTGCGTCTTCCTTAATTCTGGGTCCCTGGCCCCAAGAACAGTACAGAGCATCATCTTTCAAAAATAACAGCTTTTAGGACATAGAAAAGTAAGTTATCTGACAAGAGCCAAAGTAAAGTTCATGATCAAACTCATTCAGTGTATTTATATCATCCTCATTCAACTGAAATCTCACCTGTGCACATACACTCACTACTTCTCCATTCCCTGCTTTATTTTCCTTTACACTGAACACTTATTTTGTTCTCTGTCCTATCAGAATATCAATTCCATGAGGGCAAGGGTTTCTCTAATGTCTTGTTCATTGGTGTCTCTGGAGACTCTCACAATAGTGCTTGTTGCAGAGTAGGACTTCACTAAATACTTGTTTCATTATAAACACAGCTTTCACATGGCAACTCTAGTGGGGAAAGCACTCTTAAGGCTTTAGAGGACTTATTTTCTTTGTGTAAATTATTTTCTAAAGCTTCAAAGTGAAATGTACAGTTAAACAGTTCTGATTAAGCACACTGGACCTCATTTATAGATTGGGAGGTTTGTGGGACTGATATTTATTGAAACCTACATTTGTGCCAGGCTGTGCATACCAAGTACCTAGTCCCTGCCCTCAGAAAGCTGATGCTGAAGTGTCCAGTGACGCTAGCCCAGGATCCTACAGCCACACCTAGGAATCACTCCCAACTCAGGCTGGGGTGGGGGCCTGCGGCGTGTCAGAAATGGCTTCCTGGATTAACTGATAGGCATTGAACTCTGGGGGGCAAATAGGAATTAGCAGGGAGCTAGGAGGGAGGCACAGGTTTCTTTCCTTTAGAAACTCACTGTCTAGTGGGATAGATGTATGAGCAGCCAGCCAACCTTGAGTCACTATGTTATAACGTGGTCAGGAGTGCTCCCTGAACAGAGATGGGGAAGATTCCTGCCATTTGACAGAATGGGTAAAACACCCCAGAGGAGGTGAAACTTGAGCTAGGTATTGAAGGACAGGACTGGGGCAGAAGGAAGCAGTGTCAGGAGGAGACACCTTGGCATCACAGATTTGCAGGGAGCAGTGCATAGCTGTAGGGAGAGTAGAAGTGCCAGGCGGTGAGGCTGCAGGAGCAGAGCCAGATCTTAAAGGGCCTGGTGTGCCATGCTGAAGAGCTAGAGATATGTCCCAAGAGCAAGACATCAGGTCATGGAGAAGTTTCTCACCCTGAAGACCCCTACCCACACCACACAGAAAAAGAACACTATTCAGTGGTTCTTTTCAGCACTTTCACCTGAAATGGACAAGAAGAGTGGAAAACATCAGAAAAAGATGAGGAAAGAAAAAAGAAATGAAAGCAGTGGCATTGTTGAAGTTTTTCTGTGGTAGTTTTAGGCTTTGGTTTATGTGTCTGTTTGGCAAGGTGAGGAGGTAATTCCAAAGGCTGGTGAAGCTGGCTCAGGAGTGTACCAGGTTCTCACATCCCCATCTGGGGCTTTTGGGAGGGCATACACTCCTTGGTGCTCTTGCAGATGTTGGAGAGTTTCTTCTTGTGTGCACATGAGACTGCCTTTTAGCACTGCTGACCCTGAGTGTGTTAATAGTTGCTCAGCTTTTCTTCAAGCTGGCATCCCAGATGTTTCTTGTAGCTATAAGTGGGACCAAGCAAAGCAAGTTAACTTTAAAAAAACAATGTAGGTGATCCTGAAGCTGGGACATGGATACATGAGATTTAGTGTTACTATTTCTATGTGTTTTTAAAATTTCATAATATTTTTCTCTATATAGTTCCCAAGAGACCCTGATAACAGTGACTGAAGTATGTCTTTATTCCTCTTTTACTCAATTTATTTTCCTTTCCTACAACACAAACATAATTTTTTAAATATGTTACTTTTGAGCTGGGGCTGTAGCTCAGTGGCAGAGCACTTGCCTAGCATGTGTGAGGCACTGGGTTTGATCCTCAGCACCACATAAAAAAATAAATAAAGGCATGCCGTCCATCTATAACTATAAAAAACTTTTTAAAAATGTAACTTGCATGATATTTTAAAAGTATAGCTTCCATTTATAAATAATACTAAAAACAGCGTAATCAATGGGATGTATTACAAATAAATGCAGAGCGTATGCAACCACCAAAAGTATAGGCATACAGGTTGGAAAGACTTTGTCATTCGTAAAATTACTGCCATTGTATACTAAACATGGAACACGTGGCATCAATTTTCAGAAACAGTTTAGTTTTGTGTTGTTGTTTGTTTTTAGACCCTTAAATTCCTTAACAGACTTTTACGGAAGGTACCCTACGTATCTCCCAGTTCTGCAGAGGGCTGTTGAGCAGTGGTATGCGGAGCCAGCATGCACAACTCCCATCTTGAAGCTTATCGCAGAACTGATGCAGAACAGGTGGGCAACGTAACTGCAAGTGGGAGAATGTCCCCACGTCATACCCAGGGGCGGAACTGAAGGTGATGGGGACAGCAATGGAAATAGAGAGGGCTGAAGAGCGGAGGAGGGAGATGAGGAAGGGAGAAATGGAGGAGAAGTACAACTGGGAAAGAGAGTGGAGGAGAGACACAGTGACCTTGGGTCATGTGGAGATTAGGGAAATGGAAACATTAGAAGACTACAGCTCCGTTATTTAGTCACAAAGTGGAGGGAAGGAGAGCTCTTTCAACTATTTCCCTGCTTAACTGTAATACTGTAGAATTTAGAGCAGGAAAGAAGTTTAGGGGATCTCCACTTTGTGAGAATCTGTGTCCCAGAGCAGCTCATGGGCACGTGGCTGTTGCCTTGGGAGCACTAGGGATTGTCCCCGCTTCCACTTGGACGCTGTGCCTCCTCCTTGATGCCAGGATGTGTTTGGATGATTCATGCACTCACAGTTTTCACTGAAATAGCAACTGTGACACTTCTTGGAAATTGCCTGGATGCCCTTAGAATTTGCATAGACCGGCAGAGATTCACAAACCCTGCATAGAAATATTAACAAAATTAGCAAAAGAGAGCAACTGAACAAGCTAATTGTGTTTAGCTCTTTAAAATATGTCATTGTGAATATTGCTCAGCACCAAATTACCTGTCACTTAGCCGTCCTGCTCTATCAGTGCCTCCTTGTAAACAGCACCATGAAGGGGAGATGCCAGCAGGGGATGGGGGTGCAACTCTGATTGTCTCTCTCTTGCCAAGTGTTTACCACTGCAATTTAAAATCTTTACTCTAAAATGAGGTGGAAAAGACCTAGCAAAGAAATGTATTCTTCTTTTGAAAACATTAGTTTTTTTTAAACCATTCTTGTGGAGTGCTTTAAATACTAAAAGAAGATTGGCTTTATATTTTATATTAGAAATTTTTGTCCATCAAATGTCATTTTTTAAACCAGATTGTTGATACTATATGTTACTGATAGAGTATTTACTAGTAAAGGAAAAAATCATTGCATTATATATTGTAAAGCATTTTATGTCTGCCACAGGCATATAATTCATATCTAGCACAAATATTCTAAGAATTACCTAGTGAAAATGTTATCTGTATTTCTCTAGAATGTAATGCAAATGTATATATTCCATTTCTTTAATCAGGAATTGTATGTGTTTGCATACAGTTATCACATGTTTATAATAGTATTTTTCAGACGTTATTGCAGGTGATGCTATTTTGAAAACACATAGGGAAACAACAGTTCTATTTGTGGCAAACAGGACTTCAACAATGTGTTTGCTTTTGGATTTTTGGTTTGTTGCTGATTTAAAAAAAAAAATCATATCTTGAAAGCACATCAACAGAGCATGTCAGAGCCAACTAAAGACAAAGAAATGTTCTAAAAGTAGAACTGTGTCAGGGTGGCTTGTCAGTTCTGGACCCTGTTCCACACCTATCAGGAACCAGGGAAGTGGAATATTCTCAGAGAACTTCTGCATTTGTTTCTCTACACTTAATTCAGGGGCACTGGACACCATAATCTGTAGTGTAATTTAATGTGTTTGAAATTTGCTTGAAGGGCCACATTATTCATTATGAATTTTTGCAGTATTAAAAGTACCTGCATCTCCTTTATTTCACTTTAGAACTTGCTTTAAAAATAGGTACCAGATACTATAGAAGATGTCAGATTATAAATACAACTCTGTCCACGTTTCTGTATAAACTTATTCATGTACACGTAAGGTTTTTTACTTATTATCCACCAACCACTTTGCATAAAAAGAAGAGGGGTGAGAACTCTGTGATACAGGGTGTCAGATACTATCTTTATAAACTCTTTAAATCAGCAAATAAAAGAAAACCCTTCTTAATTGTCTAGTATCTTTGCAGTGAGGAAATTAGCATACATATTAACAACAACATTAACAACATTAATTAACAACATTAATTAACAACAGTTGTTGATTGGAATGGTAGTGTAAGAAATAATTGTATTGCTGCTGCTTCCAATAAATGAAAATGCTGGACATTTTCAACCTATATTTGGTTTCTTTATCTGCACATATAGTTTAATTTCTTGCTCTATTTTCTAGGTCCCAGCGTTTGAATTTTGATGTATCATCTCCTAATGGAATTCTTCTCTTCAGAGAAGCTAGTAAAATGATTTGCACTTATGGTGAGTGTCCTTTCCATATTGGTCTCTGCAATATAACTTTATCTCTTTGGAGAAAAGAAAGATGTTAGTTATTTTGTTCTCTCAAACCTTCGTATCTATATGAATTTGTGCAGTGGCTAAAGGGAGTGCAGGGAGTCAGGGAGCCATCATGCTGGCTGGCATGGAGGAGGTCGGCCCTGCCTGGCCAGCTTGATGACTCTCGTTTGGATGAACTTGCAGGGTCAGTAGGCAAAGGGAATACACTAGATAGAATATTAAAAAGTTGTAGCATTTTCAAAATTGCTCAAACTTGCATCAGAGAGTTTGCTTTCTTGGATCAAGGAATGAGTAGACCAGTATGTCCCTGAATTTTGGGGAAATGTCCTTGTAAAGAGCAGTAAATGTTTCATGACAGGGAACCTTGGGGCACTGTCCTACTGGGAGCAGAGTTCTCTAAGGAATGTTGCCTGTTAGATCAAAATCTTGGAATTTGGTTATTGTTGGGGCCAAGAACTGCCATACATCCTAATACTTGCCAATTCTGACAGCATTGTCTGTGGAGTTCTCTGCCCTCTAGGATTTATGTTCAGGGCATGGGGACAGGGTGGACGAGGGTTCTCTGTAGTCTGGCACATGCTGACTGGTGCCAGCTCTCTGGGCAGCTCTGCAGTGTACTTCTTCCCAAGAGGTGTTTCTTTGTGTCCTCTTTTTCTTCCTCTTTGCCTACTTGATCTCAGGCAGCTCAATGGTATAGTGCCCCTGGATTCCATTCCTAGTGACACCAAAAAAGAAAGAAAAAAAATAGCCTGTGATTCCTGTATTTCTTTTTGAGTACCTAAAAACAGATCTCACAGAAAATTTTAAAGCCCAATTTTTTTTTTAAGAGAGAGAATTTTAAATTTTTTTTTTTCGTTCTCGATGGACACAACATCTTTATTTGTATGTGGTGCTGAAGATCAAACCCAGGCCGCAGGCATGCCAGGCGAGCACGCTACCGCTTGAGCCACATCCCCAGCCCCCCCAATTTTTTTGATGTACATGCATGTGTATAGGAACAAAATTCAAAACGCAGAATTTTTATTTAGGTTAGAAACCCATTCTGCAGCTCGTGTCTATATACATTGTAGACTTCTTCTAATACATGCTCTTTTAATTGTATGTTTGATTTGTAGAACTTGAGGTTAAAAGTTCTACAAATCAAACATGCAAACTAGAAACCACCTATTTTTTTTTAGAGAGAGAGAAAGAGAATTTTTTAATATTTATTTTTCAGTTTTAGGTGGACACAACATCTTTATTTTTTTTATGTGGTGCTGAGAATCAAACCCAGTGCCCCACGCATGCCAGGCGAGCATGTGGCTTGAGCCACATCCCCAGCCCCCACCTATTTAAGTCGATAAATTCACTCTTATTTTCATTGTAATCAGCAACAACATTGCCACAACTTTTGTGTCTATTTGAAGATAGACACATTAAAATCATACAGAAATTTTGCCTTCTAGAAGCAAACAGACCCCTTTTTATGTTTTCTAAATACAGTTTTGCCTTACTTAACTTTCAGGGTACAGCTAATTCCTGTCCATGTCTGAGCCACACCCCCAGCCTTATTTTGTATCTTATTTAGAGACAGGGTCTCAACTGAGTTGCTTAGTGCTTTGCCATTACTGAGGCTGGCTTTGAATTTACAATCCTCACATATCAGCCTCCCAAGCCACTGGGATTACAGGCACGTGCACTGCGCCCAGCCTGTTCAATCTTTTTCTAATTATTCTTTAAGCTACACATGACAATACAGTGTATTATAACATGTTATACATTCGTGGAGTATAACTTCCCATTCTTGTGTTTGTACCTGATTTGGAGTTTCACCGTTGGTGTATTCATATATGAACATAGGAAAGTTCTGTCGGATTCACTTTACTGTCTTTCCTATTCCCATCCCCCTTCCTTTCCCTTTCCTTCATTCCCCTTTCTCTAATCCAATGAATGTAATCCCCCCTCCCTATTTGTGTACTAGCATCTACCTATCAGAAAGAACATTCAGCCTTTGGTTTTTTGTCTTTTTTAGCATGGTAGTCTCCAGTTTCATCCATTTACCAGCAAATGCCGTAATTTTATTCTTCTGTATGGCTGAGTAATATTCCATTGTTTATATATACCACATTCTCTTTATCCATTCATCTGTTTAAGGGCACCTAGTTGGTTCCTTAGCTTAGCTATTGTGAATTGAGCTGCTATAAACATTGATGTCGTTGTTGTCACTGTAGTATGCAGATATTAAGTCCTTTGGGTATAGACTAAGGAGTGGGATAACTGAATCAAATGGTGATTTCATTCCAAGTTTCCTGAGAAATCTTCATAGAGCTTTCCAGAGTGGTTGCACCAGTTTACAGTCCCACCAGGAATGTGTAAGTGTGTCTTTTCCCCCCATGCTCACCAACATTTATTGTTACTTGTATTCTTGATATTTGCTATTCTGACTGGAGTGAGATGGAATCTCAGTGTAGTTTTAATTTGCATTTCTCCAATTGCTAGAGATATTGAGCATTTTTTCATATATTTGTTGACCATTCGTATTTTTTCTTCTGTGAAGTACCTTTTAGTTCCTTTGCCCATTTCTTAATTGAGTTATTTATTTTTTTGGTGTTAAGTTTTTTGAATTATTTATATATCCTAGAGATTCATGCTCTATCTGAGGTGCAAGTGGTAAAAGACTTTTTCCCATTCTGTAGGCACAGCATTCCTGGTTGTTTCTTTTGCTGTGAAGAAGCTTTTTAGTTTGATACCATTTATTCATTCTTGATTTTACTTCTTGCACTTTAGGAATCTTATAGAGGAATTTGATTTTTAAGCTGACATGATGAAGAGTTGGGCCTACATTGTCTTCTAGTAGGTGCAGGGTGTCTGGTCTAATACCTAAGTCTTTGTTCCACTTTTAGTTTTGTGTCCTGTCCATGTTTTTTCATACTAAGATGTATGGTTCCAAAAACAGCGTGGCATATGCTTAAAAGCACAGTTTTTGGAGATTAGAAGGTGTGAGTTCCAATTGTGGTGCTTATCAACTCCATGACTTTCAGTGAAGACACTAAACCTCTTTGCCTAATTTTCTCATACCTAAAATTAGGAATAATAAAGACATACTGACCTGGGTGCCTGTGTAGGGTTAGGGGGTTTACTGAGCTGCTCTGGGTGGAGGCCCGGCCCAGGGGAGCATGGAGTGGGCACTCACGATGGTGCCCCTTCATCCACAGCCATTTTCTTGCGGTCATCTTCTTATCATCACGATGCTATCTTTCCTGCATCATTTCTTTCATGAATGTACTGTTTCCTTTGGGATATTGAGAAAGTGACTCGTCCTCTCCCAGTACCGCTGGTTCTCTTGAACAGCACATATGTCCAGTAACAGGCACAAGGAAGCTCCGTGGGCTTCAGAAGCTTCCAATCTCCACTGAGTTGTCTTTCAGAGACCAGGTGCTACCCCAGAGGTTGAGAGGTTCGAGGGTGGTGTGGAGGGGAGGAGGAGGGAGACTGAAGGAAGGGAGGGGAACAAGGGGACAAGGAAAGAGAAACCCTCCGAGCGTCCTTGGGAAGCCATTAAGATGTTCTTTTACTGAAAAAAGACTAGAAGACAAGCAAGGCTCTGCTTCTAAGTTCGATTACTGGTGTTAGTGACTTCCAGTTTTTATCAGCTGCCATATGCCTGCTCCTTCCTATATTAGGTCATTTTTCATACATTTCCCGGTTGAATCCTCAAGATAGGTGGCATCATCTGCAGCTCACTACTTATGTGACCTTGGCTGAGTTGTTTACTTCCCTTGCTTAAATAGGGAAAATATACATACCTCATAGGACAGTGGGAGGGCTCAATTAGATAAGGTGTGGACTGCCTTGGCCAGTCAGTTACCTGCCCTGCTTACTGTAAGCTCATGGAGATTAGCAAGATAGCCAGATAGAACTAGCTAGCAGGGAGGCAGGGAGCTGAATTGGAATTCCATTCAAAGTCACTATGACTTTAGAAGATGAATGCGTCTTTCTGCTCTCCTTTCTGCCTTCTGAGAGTTCCACAGGAAGATGTGCCTTGGATGTTTATGGTGAAGCACTATTCTGATCCCCAAACTTAAGGGAAATCAAAGGTTCCATGGAAAATGTTCTTCAGCTGTGCCACAGTGACAGATACTGGCACTGGACCTCCATCTACGCACTTGCCCTCCCGGGCTGGCTCTGGTAGCCAGGCTGAAGGGCCTCTTGCCCCCTGTGATGTTTTGTTACCTGTACTTTTACCTCTGAAGCATCTCAATGCTCACTGGAGGGAGACCCTCAGGGGTCTAGAGGATGAGGGAGAGCGTGACTGGGAGGTTATTTATTCCTTTGGTAAGCCGAGGGTTTTTTCTGTGCTCACTGTTCCTGGCGGTGTCTGGTGGTCAGTGCCCCAGGAAGTACAGAGGGAGGACTCCTTGCCTGTGCTCCTGATGTGTTCTGTATTTGTGGAATACCTCCACCTTACTGCTCTGTGAGACTGGCAGAAAAATAATACTTCTGATATGCTGTTTTATTTATCTGCATTCTGTCATGATATACTTTGATGTAAGTTTTTAATTTTGCCTCCGCTCTCAGCTGCTCTTGCCGTTACAGCTCAGGGTCAGCGATGAGGTCAGCCACAGTAGCACAGAACAATTTCCTGTTTGTACAGCCCAGGTAACATTTGGATGAGGATTAAATTTTACCACATTTTCTACTAGCCCAGGCCTATTATTTCTAATGAGTTTTAAATTGCTTCAAGAACGTGTATTTCAAAACTTAGTGCTATGATCCGTTCAGCTTGAGCAACTTAATAAAAGAAATTTCTTTCTTAAATTTTTGGTTAAAATGTTGCATGCAGTGTAATAAATGTTATTACTTTAGAAACCTACTTCTCAGTTTTAAGAACTGGATGGTTTTTAGGCTCAATTTCCATTCCTCTAATCTCTCTCTCTGTGCCTCTGGGTGCTGGTGTCTTTAGTGACATCTGTTGGTCAGCAAGT